GACATGATTTTTGTTGTATCTCATGGTGAGCCATCAGATAATGTAAGTCCTGAAGTTGAAGTGTCTGATTTTTTGTGTGAGGTTGATGAGGTGAGTGTAATCCCTGAGGTGGGGGAAGGAGAGAAAATTGTTGTTGATAATTATTGTGATGTAAATGAGTCACTGTGTAAAAAGGTTGTGAGCAAAGGTTGCTCAAATGATGATATTTTTACAGAGATATGTACTGGTAATGAATATGAATTAGTTGATAATGTGAGCCAGGTGTGCTCAGGTTTTGATGTTACTGCAGAGATCTGCAATGAAAATGTATCACAAGTTGTTATGAGCAAGGGTTGCTCAAAATTTTATAGTATTGCAGAGAGCTGTATTGATGATGAATCAATAGGTAATGTGAGCCAGGGCTGCTCAGATTTTCATATTGTTACGGATAATTGTAATGATAATGAATCACCTGTAAATGTGAGCCAGGGCTGCTCAAATTTTCATATTGTTACGGATAGTTGTAATGATAATGAATCACCTGTAAATGTGAGCCAGGGCTGCTCAAATTTTAATATTGTTACGGATAGTTGTAATGATAATGAATCACCTGTAAATGTGAGCCAGGGCTGCTCAAATGTACATATTGTTACAGATAGTTTTAATGAAAATAAATTCCCAAGTAATGTGAGTGAAGGTTGTCCAGATTTTGAGAGCCAGGAGTGCTCTAACATTGAGTTGGAAACCAATGTTGAATTAGTTAAAGAGAGCGCTGCCAGCTCTAAAGGTGCACTTGTTTATGATTTTCAAGAGGAGGTGAGTTGTCAGGTCCATGAGTTGGGAGGTGAGGCTTTTGTTTGTCTTGTTAAAAAAAATGAATCTGTTAAAATGAACTATTACCATGATTGCCCTGAAGTTCCTGATTTGTTTGAATTTCTTTTTTATGAGACTCGTTTTTCATTTTGTAACAATTTAAAAATATGTATTGTAAAACTGAGGTTTCACATGAGTTATGACCACGGGTCAAAGGAACAGGGAGAGATAATTCTAATTATAATAAACATGTTGAAGCATAAAGTTGTGAAATCCACGGACAAAAGATATGTCCCGCCATCTTTAGCTGTGTTATTTAAGAGCAAATAAAGGCTGCTCAAATTGTGGTGAGGCATCTCTCACCTGTAATAATGTTAGATAGTTTTGTTTTTATAGTGATGAACATTGGTTTTATTTAAAAATACACATTTTTGATGATATGATTTGGATTAACTTAGTTATAGTTGCAAATTCAGTAAGGATGTTGATGTGTTTGCCCTGATTTTTGAGATAAAAATATAATTACTTTTATTGGTATGAAAAATGAAAATTAATGTTGACATTCATTTTCAATGGTCTGATTTTTATTGTCGTACATGAATTTTTAACTCTTGAATGGCAGTTAAACTTATGTAGGAAGGATTGTTTATTTTATTGCAGTATATCATAAATCTGTTTGATTTTCAGTGTTACCTAAATAATGTTTTTTGATAAGGACCATTCATATGGCTTAAGGTCTCTTCTTGATGTAATTCATGTAAATTTTGTGTGTCTGGTGACGATTTAACTTCCTTAGTTAAATCTGAAATGAAAGAGGGGGGATATGTCGAGTATGAGCGTTCATTAGGAAT